TGGGAAGCCGGGGTCAAGGATGCCCTTTAAAGTGCGGATGCCGTTGCCAAGCTGCCCTCCAGAGTGGCCGCGCCCGGTCGGACGTGCAGAGCGCGCTTTCCCTGCACATGCACGACGTGCCCACCTTTGCTTACCTGAGAGGTGAAATGCAATCCCGTGTTTAGTCTGCACTTCTTTTATTACGAGGGCAGAAGACACAGTGCTTCGGTTCTGGCTCGGATTTAGCCGTTGGAAAGCACCAGGCACCGGCTCTCTGGGCTCCCGGAAGGGCGGGCGGGGTCGCGATCCCGGTGTGCGGGGCCGCGCTGCCCGGGACCCCTCGCTCTGCCCGGCCGCGCGCACGGCCCGCGCTTCCCCGCGTGGCCGCTCGAGGGCGCCGGCGCCCGCCTAACGCACCCGAGCGCGCGGCCCGGCGGAGCCCGAGGCGCCCCCCGCCCCTCCCGACCCAGCCTGACCCGAGGCGCGCCCGCAGCCGGTTCCGGCCGCCCCTCCCTGGGTGGGTGACCCGCCGGGCACGTCCCGCCTCGCAGGCTTCCCGGGGTTCAGGGGCCGTCGCGGCTGCCGGAGGGGCGCGGGCCGCGTGGGGGCCCCCCAAGCCCGTCTGATGCTCTCGGGACCCCCAGAGTGGGCAGTCCCCGGGATGAGGGGTCACTGCCGGGACAGCCCTCTACCTTCGAGCCGGCCAGCCGATCCTTGTTCCCGAAAGCCTGGACGAACTCCTCAGGCCCGACGTGCCGCAGCCGCTCCTGCGCGGGGACGGAGGAGAAGGGCGGTCTGCGGAGGGCGCCTGCTGCGGACGCACCCCGTCCCCGGCCCCCCGCGAAGGTCTCTGCACCTGCCCTTCACGCCGGGGCGCGGAGACCCTGCTGTGGGCTGTCGCGGGGCTCAGGGCCGTCCGAAGGAGGCAGCCCTCCTTCCCCAGCCCGCGGGGTCGGGGAGCAGTGCCTGCGGGGAGACGCCAGGGGGCGCAGGCTCGACTCCCGGTACCGAAATGACCTGCTCCCCTGGGGGCGGCCCGGTGGCCAAGGGCATGGGACTGGGCTCAGAATCGAATCCTGGCTCTGTCCCTTCAGCAAATCACGTAACCTTTTGTGGCCCTGGTTTCCTCATCTGTGAAAAGGGAACGATACCTACCCGGCAGGAGGATGGGAACACCAGTGAGCCAGCGCGTGCAAGCGCGCGCAGGGCGCTGCCCCGGAAGCAGCAGGGACGCTACAGGCGGTGAAGGTTTAACAGGAAGAAGCCTGCTCCCAGCCCCCACTCTGGGTCGGGCCCACGGCCTTGCACCCACAAGGAGCCCAGTGTGCTGAGGGCTAGGCCGGGGCATCTCCTCTGCAAGCACGAAGGGCTTGTGCAGCTGCTACGGAAAGCTGGGGCGGGCACAGTGTGTCTGTGAGTCCTGGATGGGAAAACTGAGGCCCAGGTGGGGAAGGCACCAGTCCTAGGAGGATCACACGACAGGTGGCGTCAGAGCTGAGCCCAGTTCCTCCCTCCCAGGCCCGGACCCTCAGGCAGACCAGGGACAGGCACCTCCAGCCCTCTAGTTCCTTGTGCCAGTGCTGGGAGACTGCTCCAGGGCCCGGAGTCCTCCGGAGATGCCAGCTGGCCCAGCGTGACAGGCCCAGGCCCTGGGTTATGCTGAGACCAGGTAGGGGTGGTGAGATGGAAGGGGAGGGTGGCCGTTGTTCCCTGTTGCTCCCTGCTCCGGGTCTGGGGGGACGGCGGCGCGGGCCTGCTCACCAGCTCCACGTGCGTCAGCTGCTGCGCCAGCGTGTAGGGGTCACTACAGACACCGAGGAGCTCCCGGTGGATGGCGGCTGGCGGCTTGGTCCTGTAGGAGATGGGCTTGTTGGCGCCCACCAGACCTTCCGGCCCCTGGCCCAGGGCCGCCAGCCTCTGGTGCAGAGCCTGCAGGAGCTGCTGCATCCGCTTCCGGTATGCCTGGGGGCGGGGGCGGGGTGGGAAGAGCGCACTCAGGCCCGCACACGCATCTCCAAATCTCCAGTGTCAGAGGAGGGCAGGCTCCCAGGCTCCAAAGGGAGGGGACCTGCCCCACCCTGAAACAGGACCCAACCCCGGGCAGATTGGGGAGAAGGATGCAGGGATATGGGGGGAGCTGAGAGGAGCACACATGAGGGAGGATGACACAGTGTTGCGGGGCAGCTCTCTGGGCAGCAGGGCAGAGTGGGGTGGGTGCCGCCAGGACACCAGAGGAAGGGACAGAGGAGGGAGACGGGGAACAGGCCCTGCCCTGGATGACTGGCCTTTTGTCTGGCTTTGATGGGCCCATCTCCCAGACCCAGCTCAGAGAGGCCTCCCCTGACCAGCCCTGCTTACCTGCCCTCTGCTCCCAGCAGTTCTCATCTGGGTCATCCCATGTGACTTCTTTTACGGGACCACTGTGAAGACAATCAGGTGTGTTTACTCCTGCACTAGAGTGACAGCTGCACAGGGGCTGGGAGGTCCGTGTTGCGACCTCCGTGTTAGCTGAGCCCAGCGCTGTGCACGTGGTGGGCGCTCCACAAAAAGTTATCACACCAGCGCGGTCCCTTCCCGGCCGGCCCGGGGGGCCAATTCCTTGTTTTGGCCCTTGCCTTGGCGGGTTCCGGGGTTGGAGGGGCTTGGCCCTCTTCAGGGGGCCTTTCCCTTTCCCTTCCCGGGGAACTTGGTTTTTTCCCTTTGGGGCCTTTTGTTTCCGAAAATTGCCTTCTTTTCGGTGGGTTTCTTAGTTAGGCCCCGCCCCCCAGGGTTTTGGTCCAACCCACAGAACAGGCCCGAGCTCATCAGCTCATAGCAAATGTCTCCGCCAGAGGTGGATTCGACCCCCCAGGAGCCAAGGAGTTGGCCTGGTGCTGGCGGAGGCAGCGTGGGCAGCTGGGAGCCAGGCCTCTGGCGATGGTGCGCCATCAACCAGACAGCTCGTGCCCAGAGGCCTTAGAAAGTAACAGGTGGTGAATAGTCAGAACTGCTAGGTAGTCAAGATAGGGTGAGTTTTCCTTCATGCTCTTTTGAAACACACAAAGCCTGCAGCATTCTGCAGGTGTGGCCTCTGGCATGCTGGCTGTGGGGGCCTGGGGGCCTCGACCGTTTCTTGGGGTCCTGCTGCTGTCCGAGGACTGCGGTGCCCAGCGCTCTTGTGATGGAGGTGGCTCCTCCCCAGCCCCTTATGGCAGTGCTTCTCTGTGAAGCAGCCACAGGCAGCTGCGATAGAGCCCTCAGGACACAAGGAAGGGGCAAGAGGCTGCTTAACCCTAAGCCCATGTCGTGGGGTCAGACCAGAAGGCGCCTGGGGGCTAGCTGGGCAGCGAGTGGGTAACCGGACGTCTGGCTCTTCCGCCTCTTGCCCACCAAAGGAGCGGCCTCTCTCAGCAAGGCTACGTGCCAAGATGTGATCAGCATGCTGCCTCCCAGGTTGTCATCTGAGTTCTGGGGAGATGGGGAGTGGGGTCCGGCCATGCCAGCCCTGGGGGCACAGTCGGCCCCCTGTGAGCCCCCACCCTGCATCACCCTCCACTCTCTCCCCCGCACAGCCAGAGTCCCACGAGCAGCTGCACCGGCCACACGTGTCCTCACCTCCCACTCACTCCTTGGCCACCCCGTCTGGGTGTCACTCGCATAAGACCCTACTGTCACCATAGCCAATGGCCGTTTCTCAGGCTGCATCTTCTTTGGCCACCTCCACCTCAGCCTCCTGGTTCCTCCTGCCTGCCTTTCTGTCCTGGTCTTCCGGTCTCAGTCCAGACCTCTCTTGTCACTCTTTCCCTTGTTCCTGGGTGTTCTGGTTCACGTCCACAGTGTCATTTGATGTCCACGTGTGGACAGTGCCCACGTTTACACACGCAGCGTCCCGTCTGACCTCCAGAGCCACAGGACATGGCGCACCCGAACCCTGCGCTGCACACAGGTGTCCTGCTCTCCCTGCCCAGGGCCAGCCTCATGCACACGGGCTCGGAGCCCCTCCTCCCCACCTCTCCCTCACACCCCTCCAGGCCTCACTAACCCTCTCCATTTCATTTTCTCCTATTTCCACGAGTCTCCACCACTGTCCCTGCGGTCCAGGTCACTGCTGTCTCCCTGGTGGCTGCAGCGGCCTCCCCAGTGGCCCCACTGCACCCAGGCCAGCTTCTCTCCACTCTGGCTACAGAGTGGTCTGTTCGAGGTGCAAATCTGATCACTGCTCCCTCTTCCTTAGGCACCTCCATGGCTTTTGCAAAGACAAAAGCCCCAGTGTGGCGCTAAGGCCCTACGGTCAGCTCTGGCCACGCTCAACGTGTCCCTTGCTCCCTGACTGTGCTCTGGACACAGGTCACTCTTCCACCCCTTTGACCCCTTCTCACCCTGCCTCCCCCATGTCCTGGCAGGGCCTGGGCATCGGTTTCCCTTTTGGCATGTGCCCCTTCGCCGCTGGACCAAAGCTCAGGCACCGTTTCCCCAGACAGGCCCCTGGTGCTCAGAGCACCGCAGCCTTCCGCTGCGCCACGTGCCCACGTCATGGTTTGACAGCCATCGGGGAGACCATTCCAGTCACGTGCATCTCCTCTCCGCAGACCACAAACGCTGCGCTCGGACCACAGCGGGCTGCTCTTTGCTCGTCCCAGCACAAAGGGCAGGGTCTGGCCCACTGGAGGTGCCCAGGAACAGCTGCTGGGTGGGCGACGAGCACTGTCTCACTGCCGACAGTCAGACACTCTCCCGCGAGGGTGGCAGGGCAAACTGCAGGGGCCGCACCACGATGCATCTGTGCCTGTCCCTGTAGAATCATGTGATGGCCCTATTTTTTTTTAATGTAGGTAATTTAGCAGGACTTGTTTTTATTGAACCAATATTCATTCCTAATTATTTCCTGTTTGCTAACTCATTTGGAATATTTCCAGTGGTGTTAACTTAAGCTTATCTGTTCTTTCCTGAACCTTCCGCTCCCCCTCTGATGCGGGATGGTATTTGCCTTTCTGTTTGACTTCCTCTCATTTCCTGATTTCTACACTCTGTGGGTAGATGCTTGGAGACCCCCTAGGTAAATGTGGGCAGGCAGAGACCTAAACCACTGAGAGTGTCAGGCATTCCCTGTTGCTTCGTGAACCCACGTTTACAGAGCACCAGGGTGTGCCCAGGTGGCACAGCACCTCACCCCTCCTGCCTCGGGCTGGAGCCCTCTCTCCACTGACTGCAGCTGGGAGGGTGCCCGGCAGGCTGCGAGGTCTGGAGCTGTCTTCCCATCTCTTGCCACTGACCATCTGCTGCGTGCACAGAGCTGGGTGTGAGGGCAGAAGTCGTCCGAGTGTGGCCTGGGTGGTGGCCGCGACTCTCCAGGTGTCTCCAAGCTCTCTTGGAGTGGGCATTTCACAGCTAGAACCACCTGTCCCTGGCTAGACAAGTGCTGGCCCCTGTTCTCTGAACTTGTTGAAAACCCCCTCCTGAGCCAGCCAGGGCCGACATCCTCCTGGGCTTGGCGCACCCTGAGCAGGCAGGAGCTCGCGAGGTGCTTGGGGCTCTGCTCCTTCTGCCAGCTTGTCCTCAGCATCAGCGTTCTGCCACCTCTGCCCTCGGAGGGAGCCTTGGAGGGCGGCAGTCAGTCCAGCAGATAGTCCGTGAGAGCAAGGGGAGAGAAGACCAGTCCACGGGGAGGGGCTGTCGAGTCATCCGCCTCCCAGGCTGGCCCAGTGTGGCCGGAGCACTGATGTCCTCCTGTCCTTTCTCCCACACCCGGGACTGCCACCCTCTGGGTCTTCCCTGCGCTCCCCCAGCCTCTCTCAGCCTTGGCACTGGCCCCCCTGAGCTGTAACTACTGAGTCCAACCTACCGGGAGCCCCTCAAGGGCAGGGCTGGCCATGACGCACCCCTGGGTCTCCTGCCAGCTCGGGGTGGCCCAGAGCGAACGTCCCAATGCAGTGGTCAGATGCTGGGAAGGCTTCCATGGGAGTCCCCTGAACCCACAGTCACGGAGAATGGCTTCCTCAGCTCCTCTCCAAGTTTTGTTCCCAGCTGCTGAGAGGTGGTGGGGAGTAGGGGCAGGACATGGCAGCGGGGCAGTGGGAAAGAGACTCTGATGAGGAAGCCCCCGCAGAGGGTCCAGAAGGGAGCCCCTCAGTCCTGGCCCTGTGCGTCTGCTCTATGTCCATAAGCTCTGCTGTTCTCATAGCCCTGTAAGGGAGGAATTATCACCTCCCTTTTACAGAAGGAAATTTAAGGCTTGGAGAAGTTAAGTAACTTGCCCAAAGACACACAGCTCTGAAAACACCTGTGCTCATCTCATTACCTTGTGCCTAGAACTTTATATCCTTTGATCCCATCTCTGTATGAGAAATCTTTTAAAAGATAATGCTGAAGTATTTTTGAAGCAAAAGATATAATGTCTATGGTTGGCTTACAACAAATTTGTGGGGAGGGGAAAATGACTGAAGGAATAGAAGAAACAAGTTCAGTAAAAAGTTGGTAATTGTTGGAGCTGGGTGATGAGCACAAAGGAGTTCCTAGTTCCTATTCCTTACATTTGTGCATGTTTGAAATGTTTCATAATAAAAGTTCCATAAAAGTTAAAAAAAGTGTGCCCATGTGCCTGAATTCTGGGAATAATTTGTTTCTCATTATAGCTCACGTTTATCTAGTGCTGAAATAAGAGCACGCATGATTTTGGGGACCCCTTGATGTAAAGCTGTGCAGTGGGGACAGTCACCATCCCTGTTTAGCTGATAAGGGATCTGAAGCTCAGTGTGGCAAAGCCCTTTGCCCAGGGTCACGGCGCTGTGGTTTCTGAGTCTCCACCGGGGCAGGCTGAGGTGCTCTAAGTCCTGTGGACTGGACCTTGTCAATCTGGTTCTGTGCTCCTCTGTGCTGTGTGGGAGGGCAGCAACCTGCAGTCTACCTGCCACCAACCTGTGTAAAGGGCCAGTGCCCAGAGGACATCCTTTTCGGGTGGGTGCTTTTTTGTGGCAGGGCAACTTGGGGATACTGAAGACACCAGGGAGCACCCCAGGCCGGAGCCAGGGTGGGGTGGGGGGCCTCCTATTCTAGTCCACAGCACACAGCCCTGGTGACAGGCCTGACAGGTTCTCAGGGTTGGTGAAGAGGCACTGGCTCCCCAAGGGGAACCAGCTCCGGACTTACCCCTATCCCCCACCACCCAGACACGGTTCTGCCAATGCCAGGCAGATCAAATAAGGGAGGAGAATCCTGTCTTGTCATATGACTTAGACCTCACTGCTGCTGAAGAGCTGGAGGCGTCCCCCTGGGGGAAGGAGGACGGATAAAGCAGGAGCCTGCGCTCTCAACCCCCTGCATACCCTCTACCCCACCCACCCACCTACCATCCCCACACCCATCCCTTCTCCACACACGTGCTATCACACGCCTCCGCTTTATACCCACAGGTCCGGCAATTCACTCATCTATCCTTTATCCTTCTAACATCCACCCCCTCACCCATCTACCCACCCACCCAGCCACCCACCATACACCTTTCACTTGTACTCATCTCTTCTCTGCCCACAGGCTATCTCCCCTCTATACAGGTAACCTACCCGTGGTTCCAGCAATTCACTCATCGGTCCCTCCTCCTTCCTTCCTAACATCCACCCACTCACACGTCCACCCACCCACTCACCTTCCCATCCATCTAGTCATCCATCCACCCATGTACCCATCCACCTTCCCTACTTTTCTGCCTCCCACCTTTCCATTAATCTTTGCACAGCTGCTCACCCCATACATCCACCTGCCTATGCAGTTACCCAAACACCTGTTCCCCCGTACACCATCCATAAAAGGAGCCAGCTGTCCACCCAGCCAGTCAGCTGGCACCCACTCTCCCTGACCCCATCTATCCAATCAATTCTTCCCTGACCCTGTTCTGTGCTGTATCCTAAGCCAAGTGTCCCGATCCTGAGATGGCATTATGGCTTCCTGTTGCCCAGTCTGCCTTAGCAGTCTTCCTTTGTCTTACATGCGGCTGGTTCTGCCATGTCCAGACCCACTTTGGGGCACATCAGTAGGTACCAGCTTGCCATGTTCGGTTTCTTCCTAAAGCAACTGACATGCCCCCACCCATGTTCTCTCTTTCCAGATAATGCAATACCAACGTTGCCCACAGCGTTATTCCGGGGATGCTGATAAATCTGCCCCTTCTAAATATTCCAGGAGACACCTGTCGCCATAACCTTGGGAGCTGAAGATTTTTGTCGTCCTTTCACCCATAAGGGAAGTGGGGCTCAGAGACCCTTAAGTGCTCTCCCCAGAGCAGAACAGCCGGGAGAGGAGAGTGGGCGCCGGCTACAGAGGCACCTCGTGCCCGGCACACCTGCTGCTTCCCAGCCACTGGGGTCTCCCAGCACAAGGGCCACATTTACCTGTCATGTGGTTTCGGCTGCAGGGGCGCCTCTCCCCGCCTCTTCCCCTAGCCTGCAGGGTTTACAGCTTACCCTTGGGGCTGAGGGGATCCGGAGAATCTGCCCAGACAGTGAGTGGTCCTTATCCCCACCCCTCTTGTTCTTTGGTTCATCCTGCAGAGCCCTTTTCCTGCCCCTGATTTGCAGGTCCTTGCTCAGGTCAGAACACTGACCACCAGCCCAGCCCTGGACGTGGCGCCGGGCAGGAGGAGGGAGGTCTCTGTGGCAAGAGGCCAGGACGAAGGCCGAGCCACACCAAGAGCCACCAGTGGGCTCCCTCCCCCACCATCGGAGGCCTCCGCGAGAGCAGTCCGGTGACAGTGAAGAGTCAGGCCTGCGCCCGAGGCCTGGGCCCCCTCCCTGCTCTGCAGTGCCTGATTTCCTGCGGGTCAGAAAGGGGCTGACTCTGGAGGGCGGCAGTGTGCAGCGTGGGGGACAGAGCTCTGAGGGGGCCCCACAACCGGCTTGGCCCGGATGTGAGCGTGCGGAGAGCCAGCGGCCCCGCCCGGGTTCGCCCACCTCGTCGCAGGGGGCGATGCGGCCCGCCACGTCCTTCAGGTGCCCGATGGCCGACTCCTCCTGGAAGTCCCGCGGGAAGGTCTCCGTCCACTCGGCCAGCAGCTGCAGCAGTTTGGTGCCGAACTTCCGGACCTGGGCCTGCAAGGCAAGGCCGCCGGGGTGGGCCACTGGGTGCGGGCGCCCGGCCGTCTGGGCACGGGGTGGCGGTGCCGACCCTGCTGGTTCCCCCGGGGAGTAGAGGGGGACAGATGCGCATTTGGGGCGGGGCCATCTGTGTCCGCCTGCCCAGCTTCGTCCTCCCTTTCTGCGGCTCCATTTCCCCCTGGGGACTCGCTCTCCCTCACTTCCGCCCCGGGGCGGGCCCAGATTAGTGTTGGCCAATCAGAGCATCGCACACTTCCATCCTGCACAGTGACTGGCTCACAGGTGGGCATGTGACCTAGGCTTGGCCAACGAGGTTGAGACTTTCGCCGACCTGTGGCGAATTGCTCTTCCGCGTGGTGGGAGCTGGTAGAAGGCGAGCCTGGCGCCGCAGGCCGCTGTGCCCGCGCAGCCGGGCGAGGCCGGCCGGCCGGGAGCCAGCAGCAGGGCGTTGCAGGGAGAAGTACCCCAGTTCAACGCTGTTCTTTGAGCTCCTGGAGCCTGCGGTACCTGAGACCTCAATGTTACGTGAGCCAGAAGTCCCTTTGCTTTAGGCCGGTCGAAGTCGCGTTTCCCTCACTGTGACAGCAGAGCGACCGCCACGCCAACAAGTAGACAGTGGCAGCCCCCGGGATCCGCCAGGAATGGAGGAAGTGTCGTGGGAACCATGGGAAGGTCGGGCCCTTCAGCGGGCCCCACGGGGAGGGAAGGTGGAACAGGTGCGGGCGGAAGGACGCCCAGCGGAGGCTGCGGGGCCCCCCCAGGCCGCAGACGCAGGGTCCTACTGGCTGGGCTCCCGGTACCGGGTCTGGGCTTAACGGAGTTCAAGGGCTCCCGTAGGGCCTCAGAAAACTGCACGGGAGTTAAGGGTCCCTGCTGGGTCCCTTCTGGCTCTGGATCTCAGACGGGCCAGAACCCCCCGTAGCCACCCTGTCAGAAAAGCAGGGACAGTCACTGCCTCCGTGAGATGGCAGGGGGTGCGGGTATGCTCAGAAGCCCCCTGGCCTGCCCTGCCTCTCACCTTGTCCAGCACCGGCTTGTCCAGCTCCTGCTGCTCGATGCACAGGTGGCAGACCCGGGCGAGGAGCTCCTGGGGCTCGATGAAGAGGCGAGAGCTCAGCAGGAAGGTGAAGATGTAGGCTTTCTGGGGGACACATGAGAAAGAGGGCACTCTCAGGGGGGCATAAGGAGGGGCATGCCTCCCAGCCTGCCCCCCCCCCCCAACAGGTCCAGGGCCACTCCCAGCCCTGTGTCTCACTGCCCACCTCGGGGTAGTAGTCGGCTGTGGGTACCAGGTGCTGGATGAGGGTTTCCAGGGAGGCTGAGGATGGAGCTCCGTCCAGGAGGGGCTGCCTGGCCTGCTCGCCATCTGTGGGCTCGGCGGGGACTGGGCTGAGGTTGCCTGGGGTGACCATGTCGGAGGTGCTCAGCGTCTGGGGCATGCCTACCTGTAATGGCAAGGAGTGGCGGGGGCACACCGGGGCTGGGGCCTGCTCAGACTGGGTGGGCTCTGCCTCCCACAGTAGCTTCTGTGCCCGCTTGAGTCCAGGGATCATTTCCTGAGAGGGCTTCCAGGGACCCTGCAGCACAGCCTCCATTCTCCTCCTTACAGCCCCTCAGCTCTCTCACCTCTTCTCTATTCTCAGCTTCCCATTTAGGGCAGGCCCCTTCTAGAGTCCTCCTCCTCCCCACCCCCTGCCTCCACAAAGATTGACTTGACACACCTGATCGATCAGGATAGTCCTCGCTGCTGCTGGCCATAGGATTGGTTGAGGGATAGGCCTGATCCAAACTGGGGGGGCTCAGGTACAATCCTAGAACTTCTGTGGCACTTGGAAGCTCTCTTCCCTGTGGGGCTCCTGAGCTGGTACAATGTAAGCCCAACACTGTTGGGGCTATCTTGGCACCATGAGGGGTCAGGAAAGTGGGCACATTCCTGAGGACAGCATTGGAGGCTCTGGATCCTGCTGTGCCTGAAGCTGATTTGTGGACTTCTGGCAGTCTGGGCAACCTGTCCAGCCTCACCTCCTAACATTCCCTGTTGTACAATTGTTTTTTTAAGAGATGGGGGTCTCATTATGTTGTCCAGGCTGGGGTGCAGTGACTATTCACAGGCGCCATCATGGTGCACTGTAGCCTTGAACTCCTGGGCTCAAGTGATGCTCCTGCCTTGGCCTCCCAAGTAGCTGGGACTGCAGGTACGCGCCATTGTGTCCAGCTCTCATCACATGTTCTTGGTGCCAGCCATGTACTGTCCTCCAAACACCTTCTCCAACTTGTTTCCTCCCACAAGGAGTCTTTCCCACCATCTTCACTCCCGCATCCCTCCAGACATGGTTGAAATGCCTCCTCCTTGGTGGTGCCTTCCCTGCAGCATTCCCCCAGGCCACACTTGACCTCTGGTGGACATCAGCAGATTCCCCTTGCCAGCCTTCTCGGGTGCCTGGAGGCACTGCTGTCGGTGCCTGGCGGAGAGAAAGGCCAGCTGCAGCTGTTTTGGTGTCTTCTCCACCCAAACCTCCTCCAGGACATGCCAGAGCATGTCCTCTGTGAGCTGGCACTGAGTACACACGTGTGCAGGGAGCCCACACCTGCTCCCTGAAACTCCCCCTTGTCCCTGCGGGCCAGTCTTCCTTGAAAAGGTGGGCCCTCACATCACCGTGTCTTGCCCACGTTCTCAATCATAGTGTCCCATGGGCTCACCACAGGGTGTTCCAGGGACTCCTGAGTCTCCCTGGTCACACCACCCCTGCTGCCCTGTGGCTGGAGGTTGTTGCCATCAACTTAACCTCAAAGGCTGCAGGAGGCCCACAACGCCAAATCAGAGCCACTTCTGCCCCTGCCTTAATATGTAGCAGAATTTTACACATTTACACATTCTTGTCCTTTCATTTGTTTCCCCTTTCCTGTTATATCTTTTAAAAAATTGTGGTAAAATATACTTAACATAAATTTACCGTTTTCACCATTTTTTTTTTTTTTTTGAGACAGAGTCTCACTCTGTTGCCCTGGCTAGAGTGCCGTGGCATCA